CGCTTTCGCGTTCCCCTTGCAACATCCCGCATGTTGATGGTGCTCCTTCTGCTCGTGCAGACCCAAACAGATGGGACAGGAGAGTTGTTTCACCTTACAGGCGATGGTGGGGTGGCCCCACTTCCAGCAGCGCTGGCAGAGTGGGACCCCGGTGTGTCATGCGGCGGGCCTGATTGCACAGGACTGCCCAGCGAGGAAGATCGGTTGGCCAAGGTGTAACAACCGTGCTGGATGAGGTGGGGACTTGGCTTCAGCTTGACGGAAAGGGGCAGCTGTGCCACCATGCAACGTCTGGGTGTCCCCAATTTCGGATGAACAGGGAGGAGCCGGATTCCGGCAGTGAACTAGAGCAAAGGGGGTATGTTGAGTTTGATATTCCAACTGAGGAATCTACTACTGTACATGGGTATTTATGCTATGTAGGATAATGGACCATGATTATGTAATAGATAACTTAGCCGGGACAAGGAGAACAATGAAGGACAATGGGACAATGGCTGGGAGACACAATGGAGTGAGCCGGAAACATGGCTCGCCTCGGAAGTGCCTCGGAAGTGCACGGCTCGTTCCCAGATGTCTCGGAAGTGTCCTGGAAGAGCATGGCTCATTACCACAAGCCTCGGAAGCTGGATACAGCCTCGAGAGCCAGATAATTGTGCCGGGAGCCGGGGACGGGTCATGACACAAGGGCCTTCTTGGCACGGGTTCCCTGCTGGGAGTCCCAGATGTTGCAGTACACGGTGCACGATGTAGAGTGCGCCGAGTTGCGGTCGATCCGAGGCTTGGTGCTCAGATATGCAAAAACCTCAGCATGAACTGAGGTGTGAAGGGCCTTTTCAAGCGCCTCCTGGGTGATCTTCAACCCCTTCAGATCGAAGTAAGGAACATCGAGAATCTTTATAAAAGATGTCGATGATGGGAGTGCAACTGCGAACGGGGTACTTGTTGGGAGGCTCTCACAGATGAAGTTGCGCAGGATGTCCAGGTCGGACTGGCTGGCAATGGCGGGGGTGACCAACGATAGGCTGTCGTAGGCACAGACGATGGAGGTGACCTTAAGCATAGATCAACCATCCCTGAGGTACCTGTTGGCCGCACGTACGGCCAATTCGGTGAAGAATTTTGTGAGGTCAGGAGGGGTGCCCCCACACGACACAAGAATTTGCTTCCAGGTGGGGCCCTTGGAAGTAAAGGAGGGGATGGATCAATGAGGAGAGGTCTTCATCAGCCCCATCAGGAATGAGGGTGGGGGAGAAGGCCCGTGACGTTGCAGTCCCAAGCCAGGAGGCAGGGGAGGCATTGGGGCGGCCTGTCATGCAATCCCTGCCCACATCGTTGGACGGGGCTTGGGTTTGGTAGCACAATTGATCAGCGGAGGTGGACCAGGGCGCAGCCATGTCTGCTAGAAATCTATATCAGACACTGTATTTTTACAAGGTATGCTTATATGTCAGGACTGTGGTTTTACAGCCACCTGCTATGGAATATAGGTAAAATGAGCAGAAACGGCATGCTATGACACGCCGTTTCTGCTCGGGGATGCAGGTACGGGTCCCCCCCACGCTTCTGCCCCCTCCTGTGCTCGTTGGGGCTCCCTCAACCCCTTGTGCACTCATGGGGCCACTTCCACCCCCTCCGCGCTCTCCACCCATGCTCTCCACCCCCTCTGCTGCTCATTGGGGACCCATCCGCCCCCTCCTGCACTCGTGGGGCCCCCTTCTGCCCCCTCTGCCCCTTCGGGTGCTCGTTGGGCCTCTTCGGGTGCTTGTGGGGATTCTTCGGGTGCTCATGCTCCCCCCTCCTCATGCTCCCCCGTGCTCCCCCTTCTGCTTGGGCTGCTAGTGGCAGGTGCTGAGCAGGAGGCAAACGGCGGGGGTGAAGGGCAAACGGCGATGGCAAACGGCAACAGTGATGGCGAAAGGGCGAAAGGGTGACGGCAAGAGGGCAAGAGGGCGAAGGCGAGGTGGGCGAGTGGGCGGAAGGACAAGTGGGCGGAAGGGCAAGTGGGCGGAAGGGCAAGTGGGCAAGAGGGAGAGTGGGCGAGGGGCGAGGGCGAGTGAGGGGCGAGTGAGGGGTGGATGAGGGGTTGACGAGGGACGGATGAGGGGTGGACGAGGGATGCCAGGGGTGGACGGACGAGGGGCAAGACAGTGAGGAAGTGGGCGAACGAGGGGTGAGAGAGGGGCGGACAAGGGGCAACAGGGCAAGGCAGAGGGCAACAGGGCAAGGGAGAAGACGGAGGCATGGACGAGGGGCAAGGGCGGGGGCACCCTTCACCCCTGCTGCTGTCATCGTCGTCTTGCCCCTTGCCGTTGTTGTCTTGCCCCTTGCCATCATCATCTTTCCCCTGCCATCGTCGTCATCATCCTGCCCCTGCCATCGTCGTCATCGTTGTCCTGTCGCCATCATTGCTGTCCTGTCACCGTCGTCATCGTCCTGTCCCCGCCATCGTCATCCTGCTGCTGCCACTGCCATTGTCATTGTTGTTCTGTCCCCACTGTTGCCATTCTCTGCCTGGTGGAGAGGGCGATGGTAGGCGAGCAGGGCAAGCAGGTGGTGGTGGGCAAGCAGGCAGGCAAGGGCAGGGGCAGGAAGGTGCCCGAGCCCACATCCCTGTTGCGGGGGAGGGGCGGCTTCAGTGGGTCGTCAGCAACATGGACAGGGTTCTGTGAGGGAAGAGGTTGGTTAGTAGGGGTGTAAGTACATAAGGAAAGTATATATTTACCTTTTTTGTGGGTTTTGGGGCAGCTTCACAGTGAGGGGGTGAGGGAGGTGGTGGAGAAAGAACCACATCAACGATGTTCAACATTGTTGATCACGATTCGGCGGGATCCGGCTGCCCATCCCATTGGCTGGGATTGTCGGCCTGATCCTGTTTCCATTCCGTTGTTGACCAACGGAACGTCTCCGATGGATGGAAAACAGGTTTTATCTCTATGAAAATTCTCAGATATTGTTATTAGTATATAAATCTATCTATATCTTTAATTTTAAATAAATATAACCAGATTTAAATTTTTTATGAATTAATTCATCTCAGGCTCAGGCCAATTAGGGGACACTCTCCTCTGCATGTAGATTCCAGGACAGAGAAGAAGCCAAATAAATATATAAAAATTGTATATAGACTGGCCTGTTATGATAGTATTGAGGAGTAGAGCTCCCCTGATGAATTTATTAACTTTAGGATGTGAACTAAGAAATCATGAACAAGGATGTTGATTCTGAAGCAAAAACCAACTCAAGATGTGTCAAATTTCGGACACTAGCTTGTATTGTAGGATCCACATTGGAAATGTAGCCTAAAATTTTGGTATGTTGTACTTACTTCCTCAATAATGTAAAATGAAAAGTTACTGTGATGTTTCAGCTCATCAAGCAAGTGGTATTCGACACGTTGGAAACATCTGGAGGACAAAAATCACCACATGAGAACAGTAACTCGGTCTCCTGGCTCATTCTTGTTCTCAGAATATATTCGGACCTTTGTAAATACATAAAGTACAGTAGTATACTTAATTACCGATGATGATTCAACAGATTTTCATCATAGCTCAACAGTATTGGCTATTCCGAGGTCGAGGAGCAGAACGTGGGCTGGCCGGACCACCTGCGCCAGCCAATCAAATTGTTCATGGCGTTCACCAGATAAGCCATCAATGATGACAAATGTCATTGATCTCAGCTTCAACCGCCACCTGGTGCTCCCCCTCTCTGTCCAACACCTCAAATGACCCCCCAGGACCGAAAAAACAGGTAAGTAATATGTTTTCTTTGCAAGCATATACTCTAACATACATTTTACTTCATATTAGGTCAACGAATGCCGACTTGAAGTCAGCGTTCATTTTCTTCACCTCTCATGCCCCTCCCCTGTCATAGGGATGTGGGCATGGTGCAACTTCCTCTCTGGCAACCTCATCCCACCTCCCATCTGCTGTACCGCCCCCTCCCCCCGAGCTCTTGCGCCCATTGCACCCGTGCTGCCCATTACCCATCCCTCCCCTTCAACAGGGATGTGGGTGTTGCCCCCACCCCTCCTCTTGCCCTCCGTCCCTCGCTGTTCGCTGTTTGCCTCTCACCTTCCACCCCTCACCTCTCACTCTCCACCCCTTGTCTCTCACCCTCCACCCCTCGCCCTCCACCCCTTGCCTTCGATCTATGATGACACAGGGCGCAGAACAACGAGAACAGCCGAGGAGGGTTCGGGTCAAGGACACAGGACGACAACGGCGATGAGCGAGAACGAGAACGGTGACGGCAACAAACAGGGACGGCAAAGGCGACGAACAAGGACGATGGCGAATGAAGATGATGGCGAACAAGGACAACAGCGACAAACAAGGACGGCGAACAAGGATGGCGGTGATGGACAAGGACAGCGAACAAGGACAGCGACGAACAACGAGGACAGCGAACGAAGACAATGGCGACGAACGAGGATGGCGGCGGACAACGACAGCGGGCAAGGAAAGCTGACGGTGATGAACGACGGCGGCGGGTACGAACAGGGGTGGGCGGCAGGACCAGCAGAAGGCGACAGCAGGCACAGGACATCAGTGGACGTCAACCTGCCCTCTCGCCCTTGCCCTTGCCCTTGCCCACCATTCTGGCCTTCACCCCGCCTCTCGCCCCTTGCCCTGCCCCTTGCCCTTCACCCGCCCTTCGCCTCCTGCTCAGCACCTGCCTCCTGCTCAGCACCCACCACTTGCAGCTCAAGCACAAGGGAGAGCATGAGGAGGGGGGAGCACAAGCACACGAAGAGCTCCACGAGCACCCAAAGGGCCCAACGAGTGACAAAGGGGGTGAACAAGCGGAGGAGGGAGCGGAGGGAGCCCCAATGAGCACAGTAGGGGGTGGAGGAGCCCCACGAACAGAGGAGGCTGCAGAGGAGGCAGACAGGCAGGGGGGACCGTACCCGTCTCCATGAGCAGAAACAGCGCGCTATGACGTGTCGTTTCTGCTTGTTTTACCTATTTTCCATAGCGGGTTGCCCAGCTAGCCACCCGGATCCTGTATTTTTTTTTCTTCAATTTAATAAGATTTTTTTGCATTTTTTTTCGGCAGGGGGCAGGGACCAAGACCAGAGCAGAAACGACGTGTTGTGACACATCATTTCTGCTCATTTTACTCTTATCTCGTAGTGTGGGTTGCTGGTAGAGCCACCCACACTATGTATATATTTAATCACAATTTAATACAATTTTTTTTGCTAATTTTTTGGTGTACCCCAAGCTCACCAGATGTCGTCGCAGACAATGGCGAGAGGATTACAACAGGTGTGTCATAGTAATTACATGATGATCTAAAAATAGTTCTGGGGCCCCGCAAAAAGGCCGCATCATCCAAACACACCTGGCCCAATCCACCCATTCCCGCCCCCTGACAATGGGGGAAATGGTGCACAATGATGAGGAAATATGTTTCCTCATTGTTGGCGCCTTTTCCCTGTCGAAAACGGGGGTGGGAGCACCCCAAATGACGAGGAACAGTGTCTGAGCACTGTTTCCTGTGTTGTTTGCATGTATTGACATGCCCTGGCACACCCGGCAAGGCCCTCTCCATAGGTGGACTGTAAAACCACAGTCCTGACATATAAGCATACATTGTAAAAATACAGTATCTGATGTATTCTCGTGGCTTATAGAAGTGCAGGGCGAGAGTAGGCCACCTTGCTCTTCTTCTGAGGAGGGGGTGGAACTGAACGATCAACACCCTTGAGCTTCTTGGAGGCAGGGATGCGAGAGGGGGAGGCTGGGTGACCTAGGTCGTCCAATGCCTGCATGAGGACGTCGGAAGAAACTCCAATGCTGGCACCCTCATTGAGTGGCCCACGGGCAGCAGGAGGGGGAGGCCTGAACATGGGAGCCGGGTGAATGGTCGCTCATCCTTGAAAGACGTCTCGGCCTCGAGAAGAGAGGCAAGCAAAAAGTTGTCAAGTTCGCCTGGTCCGCAAATGCGACTAAAGTCGGTGGCCATGACGGCATTCACAAAGGACGTCATCTGAGCCACGAACACATCACCCCCATTGATGGAGAGCGGATCATGATGTGCAGCCTGCAGAATCCAATCTGTGGCTTTCGCAATGGAGGTGGTCAATACCTCGAGATCTCCAGGAAGGTCCTCGACAGTGTCTCGGAACTTCAAGGAGTATTGACCTAGAAGTTGGTCGATGGAGGGGTCCCTCAAGACCTCTTCGCCTTCCTGAGTGCCCTCGACCTCCATCTCCTGGGGGTGGGCCATCCCTGAGTCAGACTCATCTGCAGACGAGTGGGTGGAACCCGTGGTGGAACGGGACCTGCAGCGGGGTGATGTGTGGCAGGATTGAGCCAGGACAATTGTCAAGTAAGTGGCCCTAATCGAGGTAGGGTCTGGCGAGATTGGCGAGGCACCACCGTCCAGGGACGATGAGCCAGCAGCCGATGTTGGTGGGGGAGCTGGTGGAGCAGAGCCTGAGCCCCTGCGACAAATCCCAGGGGGTCTCGTGCCCCGACCTCTCGGTGGAAGGTCAGACATGGTTTGCTGAGGTGGTATGAACGTTCAGGTGGGGTGGTCTGACTGGTAGATAACGCGTTGTACGACAAATGAGACGGTGAGCTGGTTGTTTACACATGTTTACAAGTGGGTGTTCGAGAGAAAGAGGCGTGCTTGTGCACTCCCATCGTCAACGTCTTTCATTAAGATTCTCAATGTCCCCTACTTCGACCCCAAAGGGCTGAAGATCACCCAGGAGGCACTTGAAAAGGCCCTCCGTACCTCGGTTCATGCTGAGGTCTTCACATATCTGAGCACCAAGCCTCGGATCGACCGCAACTCAGTGCACTCGACATCATGCACTGTATACTGCAACCTTTGGGACTCCCAGCAGGGAACCCACGCCAAGAAGGCCCTCGGCCAACCAATTTTCCTCACTGGGCGGTCCTGCACAATCAGGCCCACCACACAACACACTGGGGTTCCACTCTGCCAGCCCTGCTGGAAGTGGAGCCACCCCACCGTTGCCTGCAAGGCGAAACAACTCTCCTGCCCTATCTGTTCAGGTCTGCATGAGCAGAAGGAGCACCATCAACATGCGGGATGTTGCAAGGGGAACGTGAAAGTGAAGCCCCCTGTGCCGCCCACCCCTCGCGACCAGCCTTGCCCCCACTTGGTGTTGTGGGCCATTGCTTTGCATGGCGGTTACGAGTTCTTTTTTTCTGTCTTATGTCTTTATCCATCACTTTTATTGTGCTACTTAATTCATCCCTACTATCTACATACAGCAAGTCTACTAATAGCATACCTATGCCTTGGCATAAATGGTGCACACAGCACGCCTCAAATTGCACTTCATCAGCTTTTTATCAGTATATTCTGCCACAGCACCCTCCAGAATACAATTTCTCTCAGTTTCAATTCCATCATAATACCAGACATCTCCTATATCTGAAATAATACAGGCTGTGAAATGATTAGAGCCAGCATAGATCACACCTCGCAGTGGAAGCATGTGCTTTCTTCCATCAATAGTATGTGACTTGACTGATTTGCTAATTGCAATTCCTGTAACCTCAATATTGAATACAATGATCTTAGGAGGTATGTTGTATAGCCGCTGGACTTGTGCATTTGATCCACAAGTTTTGCAATGTTCCTCTGAGGCCTGCCAATTTTTAAAGGTAGCACTCACAGTTTTGTCAGCTGATGACTGTATAAAAATACGACTCTGAGGAGCAGTATCCAACTCTGTAGTAGAAGAACAAGACTTGCATATTTTTTGTCCAGTTCCAAGCCATTGTCCATCTTGAACGAGTGTGCCTACCAACTCACGTACATCTGTTCCAGTCATCCCATAAGGGAATGCTTGAGGACTTCTGGTATGTAGATTCTTTCTGACTCTGTCACAAATTTCTTCAAATCCAGCTCTGCCACATATAACCTCTGAAAATCCATTTGAAAGCTGCTGGCCATAGGGAAGATATTTTGATAGATGGAACGACCACTTTGTTGGACCTCTGGACCAGAGGTAAAAGAGAATAGTGAAGAGAGAATCATATGAGCAGCTATAGTCTACAGAGTCCCATTTCAAGCCAAGAGGCATTTTCTGAGACTTACTCTTTGTTTTCTGCCGTTTAGCTGGTTTAGTATCGTTGTCAGAATTCAATTTCCGCTTCACGGTCTGTTTTGCTGCAGTAATAGGATTGGATCCTTGAGCAGGAATGTAGTTAGCAAGCATTTGTTTAGAGTCTTTACTGGCCTTGATAGCAGTAGTCCATTTTGCATCATTGACAGGCTCAATTACCATCATTGGATCAGAGGAGGACCATCGTAGAGCAGAATCAACCTTAATAGGACAGTAGTTTTGTCCCTTCAACTCTCTGTACTGCTTGAGAAGAATTTTACGGAGAGATCCATTGATTTCTTTTGGGAGCTTTCCTAGAAATCTCTGCAGAGTAATCTCATCTAGTAGTTCAAGCTCTTGAAATTCCTGCCTTAGATGGCCTGATGCTCCAGCCTTAATGCACTCATCATCAAATCCCTGAATAATTATTGTACCATCTGCAGTAGACCCTCTAGAAAGTGCTGTATAATATGCCATGTAGTTACGACAGCTGTTTAGATTAACAACATTGAATTTTTGGGTCTTTCCTTGAGATGAGTAGTCTGTCATTGCAAAATTGGGCAATATTGAAACCTGTGAACAATTAATTGTCAATGGCATTTTCAAACCTTTGCATTCAACACTTCCAGATAATCTTGTAAGTGGCACTACATTCTCAGGCAATCCTTCCAGCTGAATAGTACGGGCTGGATTGTCCAGGTGAACAAACAAGGTATCCAAAATCTGCTGGCCACTAGGCCCTACACCAGACTGCCAGCCTGCTACAAAACCTTCTTGGCCTTTGGTGATGCACAGCTCAGTAGCATCATTGTTGCAAATAATCACAGGCATGCCTAGACACAGTGATAGCTTACCGGCAACGCCTTCAGTAGCAGAATGTCTTAAATTCCAAATTACATCTTGGAGTCTATCTGGAATGGATACCTGCTTTCTCCGCTTTCTTTGCCGCATCAAGCAGAGTTCAACAATATCTGCCTGAGAATTATCACTCAGAGTATCGATAGAATAGAAGTGGGTAAGCTGCTGTCCTGTCTCCTCAGTGAATCATTGACTGCCGAGATGGTTAATCCAGTCTTTCTCAGTGTTAAGGCCTACAATAATGGACACATTGTGGAAATTATGAGGCCTTTTTAAAGGCCTCATTCTTTATCAGCCCAGGACTTAGGCAGAATTTTCATTCATTGATTCACTCTTCAACACTGCAGCAAAAACCTTCTAAAAAAGGAAATTTTGATCAAAACAATAGAGATTCTTTGGGGCTTTCCGAATCTTTTTAGATCATGTGATTAGCTTCATTTCTCATGGAGATATTAATGATTTACTGTCAAAATTTCACACAAAAGTGTCCTGTTTTTTTTTTTTGCATTTTTCTCAATGAGGAATAAAGCTAGTCACATGATGAGACTACATATAGGCTTGCCAAGACATTCTCCATCTTTATAATTTTTGCCTTATATGGCAGTTTGTTCCCATGGATCACATGTCCACACTCCAGACTTGAAATTCCCTCAAAAGTGAATTTCTGGTGCCAGATTAGATTAGATTAGTCCGCTTATTCAGCATCTAAAGACAGCCTGCCCTCAACTTGGGCTTGCCAGCTCATCACTTTCCCCCAATCTTGTTTTCCTCTTTCCTCCACAACTAATGCAGCTATCCCTCCAGTTCTTTTTGCTATGGCTTCAGGCCACTCTCCTCTATCTTCTGATAGCATTCTCTACTTTATCAGGGTCAGAGATGCTCCAGAAAATCTCAAACTCTGTTGATCTTTATCAAAATCAAGCTAATCAGGCCTGTAAGTTGTTTTTTCAGAAGTTTTCTGACTCAAGTATGATGTTTCTCAATTAGATCCTGCATATTCCTACTCTACTGGCCTGTCAGAAGGTATGATTTCAGCTCTTTTCAGTATTCCAGCTTAATTTTGCTCTTTTTGAGAGATTTGCTGATCAATCTTTTTACTTTCTTTTAGATACTACTTTTTCTGATGCTTCTGATCAGAAAAACATTGTTTCTGACTATTCAGATGAGTTTCCATATCAGAATATTTCAATTTCTCTTGCTAAAGCCTAGTTTTAGAAAAACACCAAAAAATTAATTTCATTGTCTCACGTATGTCTAGTCATTATTTTTTAAATGCATTCTAGCTCATATTTAGCTTTAGAATCAATTGGTCTAGGTGGTATTCTCCAACAAGAATACTCTCATAGTCTTCAACAAGATTTATCTCATATCAAGTCATTACGAGTTCTTACTTTAGTAAGACTCGTTCTTTCAACCTGGCTCGCAGAGATCATTTTACTTTCCCACGTGACGGTCATCCATGCTTTTTTTCCCACAGTAAGTATTACATTGATGGCATAGCTACATTTTCAATAGTTCACTACATTTTTACTGGCTATTGTAGTAATGCTGTTCTTGCCCTCTGCAAAATCAAAATCACCAACCTCCCTTGCTCACTGCAGCCCTCTTTCGCCCTTCCAACCTAACCCCTAGCACCATCCAACAACAAGCCCTGGTGCCCAAATGATCCTGGACTTCACAGTTCAGCACCATTCACGCTTGTTCAGCCACCGCTGCCTGCCCCTTTCACCCCATGACCACCTGCTCGCCCTCCTCACCCTCTGCCTCTTGCCCCTCCCAACTGGCCTCAAAAACAAAGAACAATGGCAAACCAACGTGCCCCTTCTTGCCCTTCCCCCCTTGCTCTCAACTTCCACCACCACCACCCCCTCTTCTTGCCCCTCTGACACCCCTCACTCATCCCAACAGTCTTCAAGGATGCCAAATGATGCTGAACACAGAGGTTGGGTGATGTTCACACTCATTCTGTGTCCTGCCCACCTGCCCACCTAGCACCACCCACCTCTCGCTTTCTACCCCCACTACTGCCCCTTCTTGCCCCTCTGACACCCCTCACCTGTTCCAATGGCTGCCGAATACAAGGAATAACACCAAACATGGAGGTTCAGTGGCGTTCGCACTGCTTCTCTGCCCTGCCCACCCCATCTCGCCCTCCTACCCTTGCTCTCGCCTTCCACCACCACCACCCCCTCCTCTCACCCCTCCAATGCCCCTCGCCCATCCAAACAGCCCCTGAAGATAATGAACAACACTGAACATGGAGGTTGGGTGTTGTTTGCACTTGTTCTCTGTCCTGTCCACCTGCCCACCCAGCACCGCCTGCCTCTCACCTTCCACCCCCACCACCACCGCTTCTCATCCTTCCAATGCCTCTAGCCCACACAAACAGCTACCCAGGACAATGAACAACACCAAACTTGAACATTCAGCAGCATTCGCAGTCGTTCTGTGCCCTACCCACCCCTTCTCACCCTTCCCCCCTCCCTCTCATCTTCTGCCACTACCAGCCCCCTCTTCTTGCCCCTCTGACACCCCTTGCCCATCCAAACGGCCCCCA